GGCTAGCACCTATCTATCTCAACTTTGTTTCAAGGTCTTATTCAAGGTCTTACTGCCACCTATCTATCTCAACTTCCTCGCAGGGTCTAAGTGAGAGAAAACCTTTTTAGGACTCGGGCTGCCACTGGCATCTATTTATCTAAACTTCCTCGCAGGGACTAAGTGAGAGAAAACCTTTTTAGGAATCGGGCACGTATCTATCTCAACTTTGTTTCAAGGTTCAAGTATGTATGTCTTCCACAAGACGGGCTGCCACTTATATGTGTATATTTCCATGTGTATGTGAGCCCATTTCCATTTGATAGACTGCCTTTAGCTTGAATGTTTAACATCGAAGCAATAACTGAAGAAATGATCAATATAACTAAATAGAAGCTATTTGTTCATAGTCATTGTTCATAGTTTCAAGGTCTAAGTGAGAAGAAGTTTTTCCAGGATTCGGGCTGCCATTGGCACCTATCTATCTCAACTTCCTCGCAGGGTCTAAGTGAGAGAAGACCTTTTTAGGATTCGGGCTGCCATTGGCACCTACCTATCTCAATTTCGTCTCAGGGTTCAAGTATGTATGTCTTCCACAAGACGGGCTCCCACTTATATGTGCATATTTCCATGTGTATGTGAGCCCATTTCCATTTGATAGACTGCCTTTAGCTTGAATGTCCAACATCGAAGCAAAAACTGAAGAAATGATCAATATAACTAAGTAGAAGCTATTTGCTCATAGTCAATTTGTAATTATTCAATTTAACAAAATCAAAAAGTACATTTAAGTAAATAAATTTTTGTCACAAATGGATAAACAAAGTATAAAATATTAGAGCAATTTATTACGGTACATAAATTTCAAAATCAAATAATATTGTTCAAAATGTATTTTTCTTATATAAATTCGAGAACAACACAGCGTATGATTAACCAGCGTTGAAGTGAATATTTTACGTATACGTCATGTGGTGCAATATTTTTAAAAACTATAAGCAAAAGTTAATAAACTTAAATTTAATATTTTTTTCATAAATAAGATTTTTTAAAATGTACAAAATATTCTACAAAATTTCTCATTTCAAAATGTATATATACTTTTTTGATTTTTCAAATTTTTTCGCATTTATTTAAGTAAACAAGCAGAAATTATGCGCCCGCAGATTATTGGTTTAGCGAAATATTCGCCATTATTAATTAAGTGTGAAATCGTTTTAAGTGGGCTTTGCTTTTATGTAGGAGCAAAATTATTGTTTTTTAATTTCGATTTAAACTCATAGAAAAGGCATTTCACGTATAGCAACAAGTCATTTGCTGATCATAGCGTGAATAAAAAATAATTGCTCGAGAAGAAAATATTATGATTATTATTATATGTGTATAATATATATTATAAATATTAAAAGTATTTTTGCACATTAAAAAGTTAATTAATTTTTTATTGATGTGGAATTAATGTTCATCAAATATATTAAATATATATTTATTTTTAACTAAAATGAATCAATGAATGCTATAGTATATATAAAGCTGGCAACTTACTCCAAAGGATTTTTGGCTATTAAGTAGATGATAATCTAATAGACTATTAAATTATTTTATGATAGATAGTTTAGTTGGGATTGGAATGTCGGCCTTACACACCAAAGCTCATTTCAGTTGAAACAATGAGCTATTGTTCTGCCAGGGATTAACAGTTTTCGTATGCAGGCTAGAAGGCTACCTAAAAGGTTCGCAATAGTCAGCGTACAGATAACGCTGAAAGGCACCAATCCCCAATTCAAGTGCCTCAACCTGATAAGTCCGAAAACTTGTGCAATTTCCTTATTTTGTAGAATGGCAGCTCCGTCAGGTCGGTAATAAAAAATGTGCCAACGATTTTTGATCTCTAATTGGCTAAAGATGGACATTGAAAAAAATGTTGAAGCACTGATTTCTCCGTGTACCTCTGCAGAGGTGCAAGTACTATTATTTATTATAGATAAACATAGTTTATATTAATTTTATACTCCAATTTTTCTATTTTTTTATATACTATTTTTAATACTATAATAACAATTTATTATTATTATTAATTTATTTATTTTTATTTGAACCAGTGCACTTGAGTAAAAACTCTTATTTAACTCGAGGTATTTTCAAAACCCCTCTTCACGCCTTGACTAGATTATTGTTTATCACTTCATCAGACTATGCAATAATTGAACTCAGATCTGCATACCTCCCCGAGGAGCCTGTAATCATTCTGAGATTTGATAACACGGTGTTGGTAAGTCTGTCAGTTTTCGCAAATTATTACAGGGCTCTATCCTTTATGTATTTTTTGATGGGATCAATCTTAAGGACCCTGAGGATGTCATTCGTCCTTATGTACCATGGTACTTTGAAAAGTCTTCTCAGAGAAATAATTTTATTTACTGAAAATTTTTTAATTAGTTTTTTAATATTTTTTATTGGATGTAAAGTATGATGCCAACCAAAAGTTATAGTTTTATTAGAAGTTTTAGCAATTGCATCCCTGGCTTTTATTTCTAGTTGAGCACTCTAGTTTCATTATCATAGTTTTAATTAGAGGATCACTTTTTTAATCACTAATTAAACAAGCTTAGTTGATTCAACTATAAAATTATCTTTCATCTCTCGTTATGGTCTTTTTTTTAATAATGGAAATTTTCGCTTCCTTTAATTTCTAGTTCGCGAGGCTTAGTTCCATAACAGAAGTCACAGTTTATAATGAAAGTCTCAGATTCCTTTAATTTCTAGTTCGCGAGGCTTAGTTCCATAACAGAAGTCACAGTTTATATTGACAGTCTCAGATTCCTTTGATTTCTAGTTCGCGAGGCTTAGTTCCATAATAGAAGTCACAGTCGGCGCTTCATAACTTTCATCTCGAATTAGTCGAGTTTAGTTCCATAATCTTAATTGGAGTGCTACTAACGTTAATGTTTAGTTAGACAAGCTTAATACCGCAATAGAAGTTTCAGCAGGATCGTTACTTCTTTTCACCTCCAGTTAGTCAAGTTAGTTTAAGTTAATCGATTAACTATATAGTCCGACTGTTCTTTTAACCTAACCTAATCTAGTCAAGCTAGTATTATATTTAAAGTCTAATTAGGGGCAACCACTTCGTTTGAGAGATGAGAGCACTATCCACACTCGGAGAAAGAAATTGTAGACGAAGACCGTGTCGTGCATGATGTACGAAACTGGAAAAGGAAAAACCCAAAAACGGATTGTTAAGGTCAACTAAATAATTAAGTAGGCACTGAGCTTCACTTTCGTTTTGATTGTTGATTCAGTTTAAAGAGTACAAACTTATTTTTATTACAATGATTTCATAAACTATTTTAATTATTGTGTGTAATTACAGAAAGAATGTCAATTGTTAATTGTTTTCTATTACTAATCTAATATATTTATGTTATTAATATGTGCATAAAATTAATTAGATTTTTCATTTTTGATAAGCTTACTTGGAAAGATTATCTCAATGAATATGTATAGATGGCACTTAACGCCTTTGGGATAATTACTACAATCTTATCTGACAGTTTTCTAAAACTAATTAAAATCTTAGCACTCCCCAGTTGATGCAACCAAAGTACTTTAAAGAGATGTACGAGTGCTTGCACGGAGCACTTAAGGCATACATTGTAATATGTCATTTGATCGTTATCAGTATTATTAAAATAAAATAAATTAAAATCGCAAATAGATGTCAATATTTTATAGTATTTTTATTGTTTCTCTGATGGCATTTCAAAAGAAGGAACAATAACGTAACCCGTGTCCATAATGTACTTGTTAGTGCAATAATATATCAAGTCACTGGTGAATTTTGATTTTAGTCGAGACCAACCCACAAAAGTGTCACAAATAAATATTATCAACGAATTCAAAAATGCAATAATATAATAGGGCAGAATCTAATAAATAAATTAGATGGCCCAGAAAGAGCAAGGCAGAGAGAAAGAAAAGGTGGAAAGTAGCTGGCATTAGGTGCGAATATGGCAGTTTTATGACTGCAATAAATCTTCATCAAATGCAAATTGTTAAAAATATTTGCATAACGTGATTGAATTGTTATGAATATGCATATCAACATTATTAGTACAATGTTTATGATATTCATCATTATTTAGTTGTGATAGATTTTTATTAAAATCACTATAAGAAAAACGCGTTAGCAATTCTCATCGCTGGTTGGTTGGTCGCAGTTGCTTATCGACAGATACTCTTTCGCCTAATATAATAACCAATTATTTTCCGATTAAGCACCTGTGAATAAACTGCACCCAGTTCACTCAGTTGAAATTTGCCACTAAAAAGCTAACTTTTCCTTAAATTTAATATAGAGAACTGTTAATCTGCCAACGTACATTATTACAGACTATTGTTTATCAGCTTTTTGTGTGATTAGATTGGATGCCCTCATCAACCAAGGGATGCTGGATCTATGCACTCATTTTCATGAGGAAAAGATGACAAAAAAACATAATGAATTGGACTTCTACATATTTGACCCAGATATTGATTGGCTAATATCTGAATAATTCTTGAAATACTTGCGATATTTCTCAAAACATTGTTGAAAGTGCAGAACATGTGGTCTTTCACTATGACTGCTTGCAACTTTTAGGAAAACTATATTCTTCTAGCAGCATCTCACGTGAAATGCGTGATAGTCGGAACTTAGATGTTCGGAACTTAGACATATCGAATGCAAGGGGTTATCATAATTCACATAACAAGTGAAGGTGGTTTCAATAGGAGCACTTGCAGTTACCCAAAAGCAACGATGACAGATAAGGCTAGGTTTCTGCAGGTGAATCCGGGTTAATTTAAATTATATTCTCCCCTCCCTCTTCTTTGTCTACTTTCCTTTACCCCAAACACTACGCATCCACATCTCAACCTGTGTATTCGTCTTGTAATCCATGTAAGTTATCTGCTTATCAGATCCCAGCGGGAAACAATAACAACATGACAGACGTTAACACACAGGCAGAAAAATATAGCTAATAGACTAAAAGACGACAAACAAGCTCTGTAGTTTGAGCTCTGTACCACAATAATACTAAATTAACGAAATATTAAATTAATGATTCCGATCTTTAAGGCTTTC